GTGGGAAAAAAAAGAAAGAGATTGAGGGGGGGGGGGGGGGGGGGTGTTCGTACAAACAAAAAATGTTTTATAATTTTCTCATGTTCAATTGGTCAAAAGTTTTTTAAAATGACTTTTTTAGTGAAAGTAGGAAAAAAAATAAGTTTTACAAGTGACATTTTACATTAATTACATCATCCCTATCCTACTGGGCGACTAACCCCAACCCACGGCGCCTCCATCCCCATCACTACCCCTACCTTACCTACCATAACATTTATCTATATTATATATAAATATTTTTCATCGTATCGAACAGATCATGGGTTTTTTCAACTTGGGTGGACATCATGGATGATCATGATCATTGCTTATCACTAAGGTTCATTATAACAAAAAAGTGATAAAACTAAAATTTGTAATAAAACAAAACACATATGTTATTCTTATATATTTCGAATAAAATGAAAATAGTTGATAACTAATCCATAAATCTGATGCTGGAAATTACAACTAAGTTTCACAAAAGATAAAATGGTCAAATCAAAATACCATCACATCATTAATTCAACAAATAGAGCTATTTATAGTGGGACGAATATATACATTATTATAACAGACAAAATTAATTGGAAGACGTGATTGGATGAAAGATGAGAAATAGACTTTGAAAAAACTAATGGGTTGTTTGGATTAGATACAAGTTATGTAAAAATTATGTTGAAGTCGTGGAATATTAAAATACATTGGCTTGAATATTTTATTTTTTTAAACATTTCTCCCTCTATAATAATGTACGAATTAGTTATATCGAGAATAATTATGCAGCAATTAATTATGAAAATTGAAAATGATCCTTTGTTGAATGTTCTAATTTGATACTCCCTCCGTCCACAATTGTTTGTCAGGGTAAGGTCATGCACATCCCTCAAGGAAAATTTAATACAAGGTAGTAATTTGACTAATATAACCCTACTATACCAAGAATACCAAAAAGTCCACATAAACTTTTCAATTCAACTACACTATCATTAAGGGTAGAATTGGAAAAAAGTGACTAATTATTTCTTGATTGTTTAAATTAACAATTAATCTTGGACATCTATTTTTAGTATACCTGACCAAACAATTGTGGACGGAGGGAGTATTGTTTAGGCAAACATGAGTTTTCTAATTGTTACGAAGGTCAATTTTCTCATTTTTGTAATATTAATCGATGCATTGCTAATTTCATAATTTTATTCGTATTTTGTTCTATATAAAATAATACATAAATTTTTACATAATTTATGTAAGCAACAAAGAGACAATCCAACACCGTGTAACTAGTGCTGAATTTTATGTAGAGTATCAAAAGGGCAACCAAATATTTTCTCAGTTTATTTTTATTCGTCTATTGCATTACAAATAATTTTTTATTTTTATTTGTCCACTTTACATATTAAGAGAAAAAAAATTCTATTTTATTTTTAGCATTAATTACTCATTTTAAATTATTTTTCAAGTTCATTAAAATTATATATCAATTAATCTGGGTATCATGATAAAATATATACTTGCATTTATTATTTCTTAAGAATTGTGTAAAGTCTGCATAAGTAAAAGTAAATCGAGATTAAGATATTTTATATATGAAACCAAACAACTCCTTAAGTGATGAGAAACTTCTCGGGCGGCAAAGACCAAGACTAATTCAACGGGTCTTTACGCGCATCGGCGAATTTTCTTACGCCTTCCTTTTCAGCTTCCTCGATTTTCTATTCGATATTCGATATTTTAATTAGGACAGAGTAAATTTGAATTAGTGTCGAAATTCTACGTTATGGGTAAAACATTTCCAAACAAAAACAATTTTGTATATATAAAAATTCAAACTCGAAATCTCTAATTAAGGAGATAGAAATGCTTATTGCTCGATCACAATTCTTTAGCAAATCATATATTACTGTTTTTTTAACATAGAATTATTAAAATGTTTCGATGTTGAATTTTCGAATTTGGAAAAACTCTAAAACACTGTTTTCATAATTTTCACTCCGAGCACAAAAATTCAAAAACAATTTCGATCACAACGACACTGTTTTCATAATTTTTATATCGCCCACTAATAAAGAGAAAAATGTCAATTTGTCCATGTACTGTTCGTATGTTATATTATGAGTTTAATCTAGGAGACTTTCAAGAAAGTCTCGTTTCTTTCCTTGATGAAATTTTAATTAAAGAATAAAAAGGTAATATTAAAAAATAATAGTAAAAGATAAGAGGGGTAACTAAAAGTTTTTTTTTTTTTTGGAACCCCAGGATAACCCGCAACCGCTACAACCTCTGCCCTTCGGGTGAGCACTTTGTGCGCACTGGGTAAACCCCCACTATGTAATAGCCTGCAAACCACACAGGGGATGTAAACCGCACTAGGCAAGCCCTATGCGACAGGCTCGACTCAGAAGGCATTGAGGGGGATCGATCCCGGATCATCCGTAACTAAAGTATTTTAACACGTAATATTCATTCATTTTACGTTGGAGTTTCATTAATAATAAGAAAAATACGAGACAATTTGTTAATAGCAAAGATACGAATAAACTAAGATATTTCGAACTTAGCAAATTTTAACCTTTTACTTTTAGTCAACTATTATCAAAGCACTTAAAATTCTTCAATTCTTAATATTCTACATAGTTGAGTTTTCTCTAATTGGGCTTCGACACCAAATTGAGAAGACCCTAACAAATCTTAAGAGAATGAAGAGACCTATCATTAATTAATTAGTTGGTTCGGTTTGTCTAAATTTTGAAAAATTCATTTTTTTTTCTAAAAAGAGTAAGTGACGATATTTCATATTGATTGTGTCCTTTTTCATTCTTCAATAAACTTCATCTTCACCCTTACCTCGTAGTTCCCACCGCATACCCAGTGACACATTCAAAATTTTCAATAAAAAAATTCGAAAAATAATATGTAGTGCCTCATACTGGAACTTGGAAATCAAGATGAATTTTGAACCTCCTAAACTAAGTCAACCTTTAGTCTTGTGTTTAGGGGATTAGTATATATGCACATAAAAATTAAAAATTAATCATATATTTGCCCCTGCCCACATTCCTACCCCATCGGCCATCAGGCTTATCTCTGATAATATTTGTCTAGATTATAGATATAAAAAAGATATATTATTGTTGTGATTGTATTTCATTGAATGTATTGCCACTGCCTGTGTCTGATGAGAGCTGACAAACAACAACATACCTATGAAATTTCATTAGGCGGGGTCCGAAGAGATAGAGATGTTATTTCCTAAAGATCCATCGCTCAAGTGCATCGAATTCAAATAAATAAAAGAAAGAAGAATAATGAAGAAAGCATAATTGTTACTAAGAAAAGTAATGTAGAGTCATCTACAAGAAAAAAGAAACAATAACTATAACAAAATAGTGTGATAATCGAAACACAATACACAACATAAGACAGGAACTACAATGATAGGACTAGATCGTCTAGATGTGATGTAGGTAATCTATCTTAATGCAAACTTAATCAATGACTGATTTCACGGCCTAACTCATGACTATATAACACAACTCCATCATAAATCTTACCATGATTTCACGCATGTACAAAAATACTTTCAAATCCGTTTGTCCATACATTTTGGTTCTAAATTTCAAAATAATTCTTGGAGATTATTTAAACAATTGCTTGTTTATCGAATTGACTCATCATTTCAAATTAAAATTTGAAATACATAATTCAAAATTTGAAAAAAACATGTTAGAAAAGTTTTCCAAGTTTTCATTAGCAAAATTTTAACTTTATTGTCATGTCCAAAGACAAATTCACTTCAAATACTATTTTTCCCCCCCTCAAATCCCAAACAAATCATATTCCAACACCTATTTATAGTGTAGCAGCTAGCAGCCATCTTTTCAACAAAGTATGGATCATGCATTACTCCTCCCAATAATACGACTCAGTTATCGCAATTTATGTAGTACAATTTAAATTTCGAGAGTTAAACAGTTTAATTTTGATATAGATTTGGACATGCATGAAATCTTTAAGTTTTTTTTGAATAAAGTATACATATTTGAAAATTACATAAAAAGTATTATAAGTCACAATAACTGCTAATTCAAATTATTTAAATAATATATTAAAAAATTACGATAAAAGATAGACTTTTTTGAATCTTGAAATCTAAAAAATGTCATATAAATTGAGATGGAGAAAGTATATGGCTACAAAGATAAATAAAAAAAATCGATAAAACATAATTGCTTGTCAAACTAATAATAATAATTTAATAATTTTGAGAAATACTATGCAACATTACAACATATACTAATTAGAAAGAAGATTTAGTGCCCATTTGGATTGGCTTATTTTAGGTGTTTTTAAGCCAAAATAGTTTTTAAGCAGTTTTGAAGTGTTTGGGTTAAGTTAAAAACTGCTTATAAGCACTTATTTTTAAGTCAAAATAATATAAATAAGTCAAAAGCCAAAGTTAGAAATCCTAACTTATGACTTTTGGCTTATAGGTCATAAGTCATAAGCCAAAAGTCAATCCAAACAGGCCCTTAGTGTTTTAACTATCTAAAATGAAGTCGACGAAGAAACATTCCATGTTGTATATATGTAAAATATCGTGTGGAATTGTTTGGTTTGTAAATGAGTTATAGTGAGATTATAATATAAATGAATATCAAATAATGATGAAATTATTTGGTAATATATACTGTATTGATGAATGTTTGATTCATTGCACTAAAACTAAAATATACGTGTATATATATATATATAACTATGATTATCGAAAGTTATGGTAGAATAGATAAAATCTCTTCTACATTTAATCAGAAGTTTCGAATATGAAATTTTTTAGAAATGATAAAATTCTAGATAAGAGCACAAGTATCGCTAATTCAAAATCAGGGCCCAAAACAAATACTGAACAGTGAATAGCTCGAAAAAAGTAATATATGGATGGACATTATACATGTAATATACATTCCTCTATCAAACTAGTATGTAGTAACTTTCAGTGCATGTTTCAAATAGCTATCAGCAACATACATATATATATATATATATATATATATGCAGCTTCAACTTAAAATGTTGCAATTTTTACATCTTCTTGACATTGATATATAATAATATATCACATCAATTTAGTTTCTCTCCTTTTTACTTAAGAGATTAGCAACTAAATCTTACCTGCACGAAATTGATACTTACACTTAATTTCTACCAAAAAAGGAAATATTTCCATGTCATATAACACATGGGGAAAAAGAAAAGCAACACACTGAGAAAATTAAGAAAAATCAGTACAACTTTACTCCCAATTGTAAAAAAAAGGTTAAAAATGTAATATACATAATCCAAAGTCCATATATAGTTGAATAATATCAAAGTTTATTACATATATTATGCTACAAGTGTTCAAAATCTATGTCCCTAAAAAGAAATTAGGATGATTAAGTAAAACCTAAGAGTACTTTTTTCACCTTAGAGGTTAAAAAAACAGCCTAGGCTAAGCTATCACTTGAATTAACAACAACTATTTGGCATGATAAAGAAATTATAACTAGGATAACAAATACTTATATTATAATTAGACATTGAAAAGAATTGTTAAACATTAAACAAAAAATTAGCCAAAGAAGAAAAAACAATCAAGAAGAAATCCCCACACCAAGAAAATCTATAAAGGGAATATCTTTCTTTTCCCTTGCTTCTTCTCCATATTTTTGTTGTTGTTCAATGTTTTCCCTTAGAATTTTCCCAAAGGAAAATGTACTATGGCTAATATTCACAACTCTTTCATTTCTATCAGCATAACTGAAAGGATTCTGAAAAGTTGTACTCCTTTTGCAATTATTATCTCCTCCTCCTCCTCCTCTTCCGTGACTTGAAAAGCTTAAATTATTTTGACATAAAGATTTTTGATCTATTGAGCTTTCTCTAAACAAATGACTCCCACAAAATTCAGAAGAATATGTAGTAGACATTGAGAAAACCCTATCTTTATTAGGGTTTTGAAATTCAAAGAAGTTAATTTTGGAGCCATAATTACCTTCTTGTATTCTCGTATTATTATTGTTGTTGTTGTTGTTGTTATTCCTTCGTCGAAAACCATAACATGATGATTTAGAATCAAAATTATCATGTTGTTGTTGTTGTTGTTGATATAAACTTCTTTTACCACAAATCTTTGATTGTTCCCTTTGTTTTCTTGCCATTAAAACATGCCAATGATTTTTCACAGCATTATCAGTTCTACCTGGAAATAATCTTGAAATTAATGCCCATTTATTTCCATGTATTCTATGAGCACCAATAAGTCTCTCTTCTTCATCTTCACTAAATGGTCTTCTATTAATTCTTGGATCAAGTTGGTTAAACCATCTTAATCTACAACTCTTCCCTATATACAAAATTAAAAATAATAATTAATAATTGACTTTCAATTAAAAATAAACAATTAATGTGTGACTTAACTTCTAGAGCAAGATCTTTGCATTTAATTTTCTTTTTAAAACAGTTGAGAAGATACTATCAATGGAAACTGTTAGACTTCATATATGTATGAATTATGATGATAAAAAAAATAATTCCATTTTAGCCAAGTTTATAATAAGGAAAAGTAAGTAATAAATGTTATCTATTTATATTTTAAAAAAATGAGCAAAATAATAATAAATGAAATTCTTTTAACATTTAATAGACTTGAGAAGTATTTAATTTGATATTAAACAACTTTTGACAATAAATAAAATACTTAACCCTAATTTTAAAACAGTATAGCATCAAATATCAAATCCATAATAATCAAAACTTCTCCTTTTCCGATTCATTTTTTTCTTACGACATGATATTCAAACTTAGATTTATTAAATTTAAATCGAGCGAAGAAAAAGTAAGCCTATTTATTTCAGATGATCAAGTCAACACATTTTATTTTTTTTGCTTCTACAATTTTATAATTATAATCCAAAAACTCAATAAGTATATAATTAATTAATTACCTGATCTTCCTTGAAGTTTTTCAGCTATAGAGTTCCAATTTTGAGGACCATATTGTTCTACAAGCTGCCGGAGTCTTTCGTCTTCGGCCGGTCGCCAGTGGCCACGTTGACAGCTACTTCTAATTGTATCATCACCGGAACCACCACCTTCCGCCATGTATGTTGCCGGAAAAAGTTGGAACTAGTAATATTAGTAATCTTGATGAGATGAAAGAAAAATAATGGAATAAAGTTGTTATATTTATAATATATAGTTTTATATCAAATTAAGAAGAGTAAAAGAAAGTGGGTTGGTTTAGAGATATATAGATGACTGATGGGCAGTCACTTTTGTTGGTTTTACACGACAAATTGGGCAGTGAGAGGAGGAAAAACAAATGTTTGTGTACGTGTCGTGAAGTCATTATTTTTCATTAAGGGTTCAAAATATGAAGAAGTATATGCACGAATTAGTTGAACAGGGTTCAATATCTATTATATTAATATCATTAATAATTTTAATAATATATAAATAATGTAATTTTTCAGCAAAGGAGTTCGAATGAACCCCTAGTGACAAACTGACTTCGCCTTGTTTGAAAAAAAATAAAAATATAATTTTATTGGACTTTCATTATCTTATTTCCAAATTTCTTATGCGTTTTATAAATTGATAGTTTCACATTTTTATCTTTACAAAGGTGACTCTGAATATATTGTCTAGCATTATAGAGAGGCAGAGTCAGGAATTAAAAATATGAGAGACACCACTATTTTAATAACATAGACATAATAATTAGTTACTGTAAAGTTTTGGGTGAAACGAGTCTCCCAAAACTAAAAGAAAAGAATAACTTAAAATATTGGGTTGTAGCTACTAAAATGTAAAAAATAAAAAATGGAAAAATGTTAAAAAAGAAATAGAATTCAACTAATAGAACCACTTTAACTTTGTTGCTAGGAATGTCAATACAAAAATATATGTATATTATTTAAAATATATACATATATTTTTTTGTTGAATTTATTGAGTTCATGATCCTGTCCTAAGGTTTGATGATCGACTCATTCTTATTAGTATATGTTTATAATTAATATTATTTCAAAATTCATGAAAAAGTAGGAAATAATTAAATCAAAATTGTACAGAGTGAGATTGAGGGTCAAAAATACATATGCTATAATTCATTAATGAGATATCAATATTCAGTTTTTAAATGTTGGATATAAGAACTTTTGGAAATGTAATTAATTAATTAGTTATTTTTGTTGTGGAATATTAAATTCTCTTCAAGTACAAAAGAAGCAATTTAGTTAAAGAATTTATGTTGACGGTGTAAAAGATATTACACAATCAAATTTCTTATTAAATAATACACGTAAATATCTTAATAAGCATTTGCTTGATAATTAATCTTGTATAATTAATCTAAAATAACCAACTTACAATCACATATTAAGATTTATCGACAGTATAAAATATAATTTAAACTATCTGTCCGTGTATATAATATAGTTAAATTGATCTTACTCTTCGTTTGCTAATATGAAGGCAGACAGAACTAAAACGCGGGTTCGATCGAATTTAATAAATTTTATTTAAATATTGTATTTTATATTGATAAATTTATTTCATATATATATATATATATATATATATATATA